GTGTTGAAGCACCAGTAGATTTGCCAAAGGTCAGTGATACAGTGTTGAAAGAGAAACCAGAAACTCTTCCTCATTTTGGTGATGAACTCATGTTGTGTGATGAACCAAAAGCGGAACCCTTGGATGCCCCTTTAGATGCAGAAGATGAAGAGGCCAACCCTTGGACCCCATCACTCCGTGAACGCCTTGAAGAGGAAGCCAAAAGTGAAACTCATCAGCTTTGTCACTTCCCCAAAAACCGCTACTGTACGATTTGTCAGAGAGCAAAGATGACGGGTCGGGTTCATCGGTCAAGGGGGGCACCGGGTGAGGATGAAATTCCTCCGCTCCACTATGGCCACATGATGAGAGCAGACCACATTATTTTGGGGGCAGATTTAACCAAAGGTGCTGGTGGGGAGCAAGCATGCCTTGTTTGTTTCGATGAATTCTCAGGTTGCATTGGAGCTTACTCCATGACCTCAAGAGACACTGACTCGAACATCCTGTGCCTTCAGAAGTTTGCTGGAACCAGAGCTTCCCCTAGGTCTTCTTGCCTTGTGAAAACCGACTGTGCTCAAGAATTGATCAAAGCTGTTGAACATTTGGGCTGGTTGAGTGAACCAGGGATTGAGAATGACCCGTATCACAATGCAAAGTTGGAAAGCTTGATCCGAAGGATCAAAGAAGGCACACGTGCGATCCATCTCAAGTCAGGTTTGCCGCACGCCTTTTGGCCAAGAAGCATTGAGTATTTTGTTGTAGCACATGCAATCACACATCCATGTCCTGTGCATCCGAATGAGACTCCTGAGTCCAAAGCGTTGAAGGAAGGGAAGACCTGTTATGAAGTTGCTTCAGGTAATGTTTTTGATGGGTACCGGATTCCTTTTGGTGCATTAGTTTGGTACAAACCACCCAAGCATAGAGAACTTCCTGCCTTTGACCCAAGGACTTTTCCTGGGATCTTTTGTGGATGGCGAATCGACAACGGGTATAAGTTCAGAGGTGTGCATTTGGTTTTGGATTATGAAGCTGTTCGCACCAACAAGAAAGGTTGTGAGAAACCAATCCAAGTGCATACTAGTGAGCTTGTGAAACCAGAAGTGTTCATCTTTCCTTTGGAAGAGGCTGCAAATTCACAGCTGGCATTGTTTAAAGCAGATCGGGAGTTGCTGAGCATTGATCCCAGAGAGTCGTTGCCCTTTGGAGAGGATCCTCCCGAGCCGGCCAAACGCAAACGCAGGCCTTATGTAACATTGGAGAGATGCATTAGATTCGGAAAGACTGTAGGTTGCAAAGGCTGCGACAGAATCGCAGAAGGCGTGAGGCACAGCGATGAATGCCACGCAAGGATTGGCAAACTCTTGGAAGACGAGAGACTAGCCAAAGAGTCAGATTCGAAGAAAGACAAAGAGAAATCAGAAGAAGCTGTGGACATTTCGATGCACACCTTGAAGGACAAGTGTAGCCGCCAAAAATTCAGAGAAAATCCCATTGTCCTGCCTGAAGGCCACGAGAGCAAGCTACAGGCTTCTCACGTGGATTGCTGTAATGCTGAGGCACTGAATGACTATTGGGACTTTGATGAGGCCAAAGCTGCATGGAAGAGAATCCATGTCCGTCCGAGGAAGCGTTTGTTCACACCGCTTGGAAATGACTGTCCTTTCGATTCGTTCGAAGTGACAACAGAACGTCAAACTGTTTGGACTTGTAGAAACAAGACTTCATTGTTTGCAGATGATTGGCAATCCATGTCACCGAATAGGCGCATTTGTTCAAAAAGTTGGGTAGGATGCACATACTTCTTTCCGAAGGAGAAACCCGAGAATGTAAGAGCCAGAATCATAGCCATGACATGCAATGTTGAGAAAGAACCTCTTCGCGGACTTGATGCTGTCATGTCGATCCTTGGTTTGACTCCGGTCCCTGCAGAAGTCAAAAACGTTCAGACATTGAAACCACCCCGTGAAAGGAGGATTAGGTCTGACAAAAGTCATGCAATGTTTGAATTCTGCTGCAGCAAAGACTCGAAACTAGGAGAAATTAACGAATCAAGGGGGGTTCCACATTTTCGGTTGCATCGAGAACAAACCAACTTGGAAAATGAAGAAGACATCAAAAGCCTTTTGTCGTTGGTAGACATGTTCAAGGGGGCTGACCTTTGGGGAAGCATTCCATGCAGTTCGTGGAGTCCTTGGCAGAAAATGTGTCTGCATCGATATGGTTCATCCTACGCAAAGAAATTGAAAGCCAAGAGAAAGACAAGCAAGAAACTCTTAGCTAACTATATAAAGGTTGCCGAGAGAATTCTCCAGAACGGAGGACATGTTGCTTTCGAATGGCCCAAATATTGCGAAGGTTGGATGTTGACCGAGCTTTTGCAGTTTGTCAAGAAACATGATTTGTATGAGACATGCTGTGACGGCTGTGCCTTTGATTTGAAAGACAGTAAAGGAGAGCCACATCTGAAGACATGGAGAGTCGTAACCTCATCAAGAAAGTTGGCAAAAGACCTTGGTGCATACCGATGCCAACACCCAAAAGACTTCAAACACAGCCCTTTGGAGGGTTCAAGCACAGGGAAGTCAGCCTTCTACACTGAAAGGATGGCGCAAACAATCTCGAACAGCTTGTATCCTGATGGTGATTCCGTCCCAATCATGCCGACTTGTCCGTTTGTTCAGTCAGAACATGTCCCGCATAAGATTCCTTTCGGTGTTCATCAGTTGATTGATCGTCGAGATTGGGGAAAGTATCCGGGGGCTGATCAAGCTATCAAGAAAGAGTTGGATGGTCTTCTAGCAAATGAAGTTTGGGATGTTAATAAAATCATTTCCAAAGAAGAACTGGTGAAGTCGGGTGGTAAATTCAACCTAGGTCGTCTCATGACAATCCTGTCCATGAAGCACGCTGAAAGTCCAGAATTGCGAAAGTTGAAAGCCAGAATTGTGTTCAGAGGCGATCAGATTGTTGACCAAGACAACAACATCGCCATCCTGCAGGAACTCAAAGTGAATCCCTCGGGAATCACGGCCATAAACTTCAACTTGAGCTATGGTGCACTTCCAGGAAATGAAAGTTCCCAGTCGGACGTGGTGCGTGCATACACTCAAAGTGTCTTGCGAACTGTGGTGGACACTTGGGTGCTACTCCCTCCAGAGTTAGTGCCAAAGGAGTTCGCTCACATCAAAATGCCAGTAGCGCCCCTGAAGAAAGCGCTATACGGACACCCGGAATCGGGTTTCCACTGGGATGCAAGATTCCGTGAAGTGATGGGACTCATGGGAGGTAAAGCTGACAGAGACAACCAGTCGAATTGGACCTTTGAAAATGGTCTAGTCCTCACATTGTACGTTGATGACATCTTGCTTTCAGGGCCATCAGGTTTGCACAAAGGGTTCTGGGAAAACCTGCAAAAACACCTTGAAATAGAAGAACCGACCCCAGTGGATCGTTGTCTTGGCAGAAAGCATTTGTTCAAACGTGAAAACGGAGTGACTGAAGTTTATTTCGACATGGTAGATTTCATCAACTCAGCATGCCAAATGTATGAACCTGTCAGGGATGCCATTGAAAGGCGCTGCATCTCCGTTCTTGCCAGAAGGTTCCATTCCAGTGAATGAATGGGAGGAGCGCGGTGCTCTAGCAAGTGATGCTAGTAAGGTCTTGATGAAAGTCCTTTGGGCGGGCAGACTTGCCAGGCCGGACACGGTAAAAGCAATAGGGGATCTCACCCGCCGTGTCACGAAGTGGAGTCGTGCCGATGACCGCCGCTTGCACAGATTGATGAACTATCTGTTCGAGACCAAGGCGTTCTGCCTGAAGGGCAAAATCGCAGATCGTCAGGAAGACCTGCAACTGGTCTTGTATACCGACGCGGACCACTCAAGCGCGGTAGAGGATGCAAAGAGCACCTCTGGTGGTTTGCTGTGTCTGCAAGGACCGGGGTCTTACTGGCCACTGTCGTGGCACAGTAAGCGACAGGGTGCCACTGCACGATCGACCACAGAGGCCGAGATCATATCACTTGCCCACGGCGTATTTGACGCTTTGCCAGTTGCCGAATTCGTTGAGGAAGTATTTAGGAGAGAAATTGAATTGGTGTGTTTCCAGGATAACAGCGCCGTCATAACCATATGCGGCCAGGGCTATAGCCCCAAGCTCCGACATGTTTCGAAACACCATCGTATCAACCTCTCTTCTCTATACGAGACGTTCGCAAATGGTAGTGCCAAATTGCTTTATATAAAAACGGACCATCAAAAGGCTGATCCCTTCACGAAGCCGTTGCCGGTTTCTAAATGGAGTCACGCCTTGGAGCTTTTAGGCGTCGTGGATCCAAATCTCTCGAGGCACCCATCTTCCACTGAAGCTGTTAATGTGTGAAGGGGGAGGAGAGAGACATGGGGTGAAACCACCACCCCTAATCCACTAGCAAAGCACCCTGGTCGATGCATCTGGCACGCCAGGGGAAGCAGTCCTTGAAGCAGTCCATGAACAACCAAAGAGCATCTCTGCAGGCAAGCTTTGCATTCGATGTGTCACCAAGTACTGTGTATCACTTGACATGCAAGTCATAGGAATCTTAATGAATGTAGCCATCACATGATCCAGTCATTGACGTTTCACTTCACCGGACATGTTTGGCTCAAGATTGTGGGAAAAAGGGGCGGCTGCTGTGTTCTTTTATATATGTATATATTTATACGTTCCTTCATGCGATAGCCTTACAAAATGCATACACACATCGTCTCCACTTAGGTGCTGTACAGTGACGGGGCAAAAGCTTGGCCCAGCGTCGCCGCTGCTTCTGGGGTGAAATGTCACGCAGTGAAGCAAGCGATGCGCGAGTATACGCGCAAGCTTCCTCGTAAGCCCAAAAGGGTCAGCCAGCAAAATTGGTTGAACGCAGAAAGCAGATAGTTGTTGGAAAGCAATGACAAATTGTTGCCACCGAGTGTCGTAAGCACACATCAGTTCAATCGGTCCGCCAACACGCTGCTGCTGCACTGCGTCAGGAGCTGGCAGTACAGAAATTTGGCCAAGGGTGATCTGGTCAAACACTTGGCCAAAGCGTTGCTCGACTACCAAAAAAGGCGATGCCAAAAACTATCAAAAACTGATGTGGAACGAGGTTTGCCGCACGTTCTTTTAAGCACGCACCGCAGCCTGCATTTCGAGCACGTTTCCCTTGTCTTTGGAACAGAAAACTACAGCAAAATCGATCATGTTGGTACTCGGCTTAGTAGCAGCTTTAGGGGAGTCATACAAACGCAAATCTAGTCCGTATTTAGGGTTTCCGACACCGTGTTTTTAATAGGGGAGTCGGGAGTGTTTAAGGTACTCGGGATTGGTTCCTCTTGCTTTACAATTTCCAACCCAAAATCACTAATTAGACCGATCAGTGCGAGCCTTACATTATTTATTTGCCAGTCATACATGTTTTATCAGGGTATTTGGAATACGGCTGCGTATTGTAGCGCAGTGCTGCGACTCCCTGTCAGATGGAAGGTGGTGGTTGTTAAGTAAGGAAAAGTACATCGGATGAACATTCATTTGATTTGGAGGGTCCCAGGGTGCATCAGAACTGGCGTGCGCACAAGGCAAGTTTGGCCACAAGTAATTACATTTTGGACTTTTCAACAACCTGAAGCAAACCTCAGAAAAAAATTTTTCTGTCCGGTGACCCGCTGACAAGAATTGCGCCAAAACAAAGCAAATGACAGTTGCCCTACCAGTTGTTGAGAGCAGTGAGGTTCACCAGTCACCAAGAGGGAGAAAGGCCCTCTTTTTTGAAGGATACTTGACAGCCTCGCCGGGCTTGACACCCCTTGCTACTAAGCTCGGGAATGGAGTTCGCTAACCTTTGGACTTCTACAATTCTCCAGACTTCAGAAACTGAAAAAGAGGCCTAAGAGGCCTTACAATTGTTCTTACGCCTTCCCTTCCTTTTTAACCTCTATGTCTATGTTCAGTTTTCTAGTGCACCTAAAACCAAACCGACAAGATCCCAAGCTCTTCTGAATTCAAGGTAGCAGTTTTCTTGCCAAACTGACTTCGTGCAAATTCCAACCTATTAGAGAAACGGAAACATGTGTGATGCATTTGAAAATTGAAAGAATCCGACTTGGTTCGTGCGGAGGAAGGCTGCAGTGCCCTTGCTGCGAGCTTGGAACAGATGCAGCAGCTGCAAAAGGCGTAGACAGGAAAGGGAGAAAACGGAGAGAAACTAGAAAAGTGAAACCGCCATGTTCCCAAGTAGCAACAGTTGGAAAGTAGGCAGCTCTACGCAAACAAGAACTGACAAAGGGGAGAAAGCAGGATAGAACGCAGCGATACGCAGCGGGCCTCTGGTTTTTTGAGACTCTCGAGGTTTCCAATGGAGCTTCAAAAATGTAAGCACTTCCGTGTGTTTGCTGAGATTGTTTTGCAAAACGGTACCTAACGACATCTTCATTTCGGAGCTTGTTCCGGCAGGCAAACAATATATAGCATTCATTTGCAAGATTCCAGGAGGTGAAATCCTGAATACTAAGGTTTCTGGTTTTGTTCTTTCGATCACAAGACTAGTATAGTCTAGTGGACGATGAAAGGGGAATCAAGCCATGAAGGGCTTGACAAAAATCAAAAAAGAGCACGCAAAACTAGGAGAGATGGAGGGTCAAGGCCAGGCAGCATCAGTTGTACTGCTGACCGATGACATGATTGAGTGCGATCAAGCTGCTACATGTTGGCGAGAACAAATTAGGTTTTCTTCTTTGAACGGGATGCTTTCCAGCCCCATGTGGAAGAACTTTTGCACAGCATGTTGAAAATTTCGGGTGGAACATTGGTGCATTGCAGGTGCATATCTCCATGGCGAGCGGAAGCAAGTCCTTGCGGAATGCCTTGGCGAAGCTTGGGATACAGCCGCTCCACCTGGAAGACGACAGCTGAGCATGGTGAGGCCACCGGCAAGTACACCCTACAGGTGTCTTAAGATGGGCTTAAGATGTTTTGTGTTTCCACTTCTGGCGCTTCGTTTTGGTTTTGGTTGAGAGTTGATGGACACAGGGAGCACTGTAGTCCAGACACTCATGCTAAGTGATGCTGCTCTCAGAGTCATGCACAAAGCATTTCCTTTCAACTTATATACATATAGACTTAGTATGACTTAGTTGAGTTTAAGAGAAAGGTGTTTAAATCATTGCTTGATGCCTTAAGCACTCGGACACTTGGCGGCTTCTCTCCGTAGCGTGGCGGAGCATCTCGCAAGCTACCACAGACGGTCGTAGGCCTTATTGGCGGATATTGGCGAATGGGGCTGGTAACTCCTAAGGAGTTCGCCAAGCCAAGCCTCACGCAAAAGCGGACATGGAAAAAGAGACCTAAGAGCGATGGCCTCCAATCTAATTAATGTCAATGGCCTCCAACCGACTTGTATTTGCCACCAGGTTTGCGTTTCGTTGTTTTCATAGGCAAGACTGGGAGCCGCGACTTAAGAAGGACGGATGTTCAAACGCTTGTAATTACTCTGTTCCAAGGGAACCGGATCACCATTAGGGTTGGCCAGTACGACCTGGGACATTGAACCTTCCGATCACTTAGAAGAGTCTCTAAAATTGGTGGGTCCAAACGTTCGTAAGAGAAGATGGAGACGCACCAAGTGGTTTCAAGCACTTGTAGCCTCATAGCCTCCATTTGGCCCAGCGCCTTCTCCGACAGGAAGTCCAGGTGAGCCACACGTGCCCGACCGCATTGGGTACGGGATGCAAAGCTTGTTGCAAATCCATCGTGCTGATTAGTTCACTCCACAACAAATTATGAGGCCAGTCGGAATTGCTGTGCCACTACACCAGATGAAGGAAGCATGTCCCATCGGCACATTGAAGTGTCCCAACCCTCAAACCTGACTCGATCTGCAAGATGTAATGAGGTGTGTTCATCATCCAAGTGGAGTTGCCTTTGACCACACTGGCAGGTGGGCCAGCCTAGTTCCAGTGGTGACATGGACAAGAGCAAGGAAGAGTGTAAATTGCAATTGGGCCACGAAGAGTGTCATTTGAGTTACATATTACATTTGCAACCCGCTTCCATGGATAATTTGGTGCCGTGAGCCCGTGGGCCGATCCTTGGACAAGTACTGAGAAGCCTCTACTTACTTCCTGAGCAACCCGCAGCGGACATTCGGCGTGTTCTGCTTGGGCTAGGTGAGACTGTTGAGGGGCAATGCATGGACAAGCCAGTCTTGGGTGATGCAGATACCTCTTCATCGTGGACCAGAGCAATCACCGCGTTCAAATCTTTGATTCCGTGTCGCAGGAGGCTCGCATAGCTGAAACTAATACATCTCAGCTGATATTGAAGGAATCACCCCTGTGGGTTCTAGGGTTCCTCCAAGCTGAATTTCACCCTTGCCAGGCTGAAGTCAAGTCAAACCTATTGCTTAGCATGTGCAAGAATTCCATTGAGAGCAATTTCATTTGGCCAAACCTAGCTAAATCAAATCTGGCTAAGTTATACACGTTCTGTCTATAGTAACTATATAGTAAAGTAGTTAATTTATATGTTTAGGCCCTGTTGGGAGGTTCTTTGACCTGAGCGGGCTCACACGTGGGTGTTGTAATACGCAAATATGAACATGAGATGCTTTTGGAAATCTTGGAACTCCGGCTGAACGCAGTTCATAGTTCAACATTCAAAAACATTCATCGTTTTGGTTGCACCATGGATGGATTGCGACGAGTTGATGTCTTCTCAGCCCTTGTTTTAAGCTATTGTCATTCCAACCTAAAGTTTCCCTAAATCATTAGTGCGAGCGCTTCTTCAAGGAAGATTCCCCTGCCGGTGAGTTTCCTTGAAGAAGCCCGAGCTATCCTGCGTCCTAAGTAGTAGCGTTCTTGTAGCTACTAGCTTCGTAGCTACTACTAGCTACTTACCTAGCTACTACCTCCACTCGCGGCCTACCCCCCCAATCAAAAAAGAATATATTAAAGAAAGGCTATTTATCCTCCTGCTTTGAACGATTTCTCCTCTCATCCCGTTCTGCTCCAGGTCTTGGGTGCCTATGGCTCCAAAGGGCTAGGCGCTAGCCACTTCGATACGCTCGTAGCACCCAGATGGCCATAACGGCCTTTCACGTGGAGCATAATTGCAGGGTATGCGATATATGGGGGGTCAAACATGAGGCAAAGCCAACGCATTGAAATGTTTATGAATTCACCAAACTCCACACTCAATCCACCTATCAAATGTTAAAGAATGGTGTGACAGGTTCACAAAGAACACCTTGAACAAGTTGCCTTGCTTGATAAGGAGAGGTCACTTGTGGGTTTGCCAACTACCAAGTACCACCAGCCACCAACCAAGGCCATTTTTTGATATGTTTTGGGTTCTTCATTATTTGTCCTCTTTCTGCCATCCTTGCCGAGCAAGCGCCAAGCTGAGGCCTTGTGGCATTGTTGCTGACCGAGAGAACAAGGTTGTTGCAGGGTAGCTCAAGAGGTTTGGCCAAAAGAGGGGGCCCGGTGTTTGTTAGAATGGATGAGTTTTGGCAAAAGGAAGGTGGTCGAACTCACACAATACCATGCTATCCTCATCCTCATGCTCACCATGCTCACGCTCCTCCTCCTCCTCCTCATCATCATCATCACCAGCAGCAGCACCAGCAGCAGCAGCACCACCACCACCACCACCATCACCTTTATTGTCATTTTGTCGCTCTTCTCCTGCTCCTCTTCATCAATTGGGGCATCTTGGAAAAGGCTGAGCTGTTGTCTGGCCAATTCCTTTCCCGAAACTGCCAGGACCAGCCTGTACCCAGCCTTGCTTGTGATGAAATTTGACCAAACTGTGTCTCACACTGCACGCCGGGGTCTGAACTAAGGTCTCTGACTTGCTGAACCATCGCCTACAAGTCTTGGAGTTCAACCCGAGGCACTGTGATTCCTGGGTGATCAACAAAAACAAATACTGCACATATATATATATATATATATTTGACTTGTATGCCACAATATGGATATGCAAAACTCAAGCGGATCAACGACTGCTGATCAGAGGACACGCGAGTTGGTGTTCCTGCAGACAGTGGGCTGCGAAGGAGGTGGCCAGGGATCCTGAGGAAACGAAGCTTTTGAACCGGTCGATCGAACTCTAATTAGCACTTACTTAGAGAACAGGTGGCTACTCACCCATCCGTGGGACACCGTGCAACTCTTGCCGACATGTTACACTCCGAGTCACCAACATGGAAGTGGAAAACCACCTGTTTTGTAAAGGAAAATGGTCATCCCAATCCGAAGGGGTACTTTCCGCTTCCTTTATTATTTGAGGGAGTGTACAGTGTTCTTAATCTACGCTAAATCTTGTGGGTGACACGTGACCAGCCATCTACCAAGAGCACAACACTGGCCACCCTAAAACAGAATTCGGCCCGCATGAATCGAGAGCTTAAAAACCATCAATATGTTTTCTTGTGAAATTTATAATGAAGGAAAACTTTCAGTTGGGCACGCAGCCCTACTTGAATCCTACTTTTTGTTAGGACACTTGGCTTTTATTTGGTTCTCCGAGGCCCAGGTCAGTTCTTTTTTCCCAAAGGGCTTGGCCTTACTGAGAACGGCCACGGCCTCAGTCAGGGGCAACGGTTGCTCATTACTTCTGATGAGGATTGATTAATTTTAGTCAATGTCCATGATTTGGTGACGATGAATGCTTTTATTTGCCAGCATCAATTGTTTGCCTTGTTTTGCCTTGACGCCCGTGGTCACTAGAAACGGTATCCTGGGCTGCACCTAGATTTTGTTTGGGGTTCAGCTTGATGATTGGACCTGTAAATGCTTCCAATGGTTCCAAAGCAGTCTAATAGTAATGGCCTCCAACCTAGTAGCGAGGTCCTCCACCCTAATAGCGATGGCTCCAACCTAGTAGCCATGGCCTCCACCCTAATAGCAATCGTGACTCTGGACAAACCCATCCATTTTCTTCTGCTGACGCAAGGAGGGCTGTTGGTTTGTGACTCCGCAAACAACCGAGTGCAGGTGCATCGAAGTTAAGAACATGGTTGCAAAGCCGTTCTTTTTATATAGTGGACAATTGGATTCAAGGTATACAACTACTTGCAGGAGGCAAATAGTAAATGGCACCAAACAATCAAAATGCTTGAATGTGACACAATGATTGCGAGATGCATTTGGAGGGCAGACGTTTCATTACACTGACATTTGAAGCCTCTTGAAATGTAGCCCTCACTGATAGACTCCTCAATCGTGTTTATCACTGGGACTATTTTCTTTGCGTGGTAGCCACTCTTGCTCACAAAGGCTCAGATGGTTGTGATGCGTAGAAACACCTGCATTTTGAAGCACAATTTTTGTCAGAGCCAGAATATTTCTGCCTCACACCAATTTCTGACGAGGGTTTCCTCAGACTTGTGTAACAATGTAATTACAGTTGCCCGATTGCAATTCAACACATGCCCCACACCCACACCCACACACTCTGACATTGGTATTCAGTGAACTCAGTTCCCACGTTGAGAAGGAAGGTGAAGGAACGGAAAGGTGCATGAGTCCGCACAACAGTATGGTTTAAACTTGTTTTCAGTGGCACTCAAAGCGACTGCTAAAGCTGCTGCAGAGCTGTGGAGGGAAACCTGTGTTTGGGGGAAGTAGCATGAAGGACAATGAACCAAAGCGTGGAAAGTGGCGTCACAGCTTGAAAATAGTTCTCGTTGCAGGTACAAGAATGTGCGTCCACATTCCCTTCCGGCATGGCTAGGGAAACAGCTGCCATGCCCCCTGCCTCGTTGAGTGGTGGTAATGGAAACAGTGGCATTGAACCCTTTGGTACAGGGGGTGACACACACACGGCGCCGCTTGGCGGCGCTCGCGTGGAAAACCTGAATAGATACCTAAAAAGCCTTAGAAACAAAAGAAAGAAACACAGAAAGAGCAGCGCTAAGAGGGCAAGAGAGAAAGGTAGGTGTAGAAAAGGAAAATGAATACTTAGCCCTTGACTGGGGTAAGGAAACGAACCTCAAGAGCAACCTAAAAAGCCTGAGTGAAAGCCCAACAAACGACGGAAAGCGCAAGAAAGAAAGGGGGGGCAGGGAGGGGGTGTATGTCCATGTGTGTGTCTGAATACTTAGCACTCTAGGATTACTGACTACTTAGCCGAGACGAATTACAGTGCAATAGCTAGGGAGCGGGACTTTAGTCTTAAACCGCCCGGGTAGAGTAGACTAGACAGGGACAACAGAGGGAAAGGCACCGACACACAAGTGTGTCGAGTACCATTTCCCTGTGTTACCCTAATTAGGTAGGGAGTAGAACACGGTGGGGGGGAAGGGTAGGGAGACCTGCCTGGAGCGGGATGAATTCCGTTTTTAAGCCCGGCGGCTTGTCAAATCCGTTTTTTGGCCCGGCGGCCGTGGAAGCAGTAAATTCAGTTAAGGTTGATCAAGTGGTGAGTTCCTGTGAAAGGTGGAGAAGGTCAGTTACACGATTTCCGGCATGAATTCAGCGCCCCAGTGACGGGGATCACACTCAGCACCCGAGTGGGACGGCTGAGCGAAACACACTCTGACATTGGTATTCAGTGAACTCAGTTCCCACGTTGAGAAGGAAGGTGAAGGAACGGAAAGGTGCATGAGTCCGCACAACAGTATGGTTTAAACTTGTTTTCAGTGGCACTCAAAGCGACTGCTAAAGCTGCTGCAGAGCTGTGGAGGGAAACCTGTGTTTGGGGGAAGTAGCATGAAGGACAATGAACCAAAGCGTGGAAAGTGGCGTCACAGCTTGAAAATAGTTCTCGTTGCAGGTACAGGAATGTGCGTCCACATTCCCTTCCGGCATGGCTAGGGAAACAGCTGCCATGCCCCCTGCCTCGTTGAGTGGTGGTAATGGAAACAGTGGCGTTGAACCCTTTGGTACAGGGGGTGACACACACACACACACCAGGGCAAACAATTTTGACTCAGGGCAGGAGCGCTGGAGAGACAATGTCGTCCATTTTGGAGCTTTCAGTTGAAGAGCTGGCAGCAGCACTTGCCAAAGGTCAGATTTCTGCACTGGAAGTCTTGAAAACATACCAAGCCCGGGCAGAGTTGATCCATCATGCTTGCAATGCAGTCGCATTCTGGATTCCGGACGCAGAAGCTAGAGCCCGGGAGGCAGATGAGCACCTCCAACGCACAGGAAAGGTCCTGGGCCCGCTGCACGGGGTCCCCTTTACGGTCAAGGACCATGTCATGGTCCAGGGAACTCCGATCACTATGGGCATGCAGAGCCTAAAGAAGACTGGCAAGAAGAGTGGGCGAGACGAATACCTGGTGAAGGCATTTCGAGCACTGGGGGCCATTCCCTTTGCCAAGAGCACCATGTCTCAGCTCGGGATGACCATCGGAGGAGGCAGCCCAGCTCATGGTGATACCTTGAACCCCTGGGACACCCTGCGAAGCCCTGGTGGCAGCAGCTGCGGAGAGGGTGCCTTGGTTGGAGGTGGTGCCACTCCTTTCGGCATTGGCAGCGATGTGGGTGGCTCAGTCCGTGTACCGGCAGCATTTTGTGGCATCAGCGCATTGAAACCGACAGTTGGACGCATCTCCACCATGTTGACAAGGCCAGGGGAATATTTTGTCCCTGCAACCACCGGTGTGATGGCCAAGTCTGCCAAGGATTTATCTCTTGTGTATTCCCTTCTTTTGAGCCAAGGGCTTACTGTGGGCCTGCCCAGAATCCCGCCTTTGCCTTTCGATGCATCCGAGTTCTCTTCTTCCAGAAAGCTGCGTATTGGCTGCTACTTGGAGGAGTACACCTTCCCCAAGCCCTGCAAGGCAGTCTGCAGGGCTGTGGAGGAGTCAACAAATGCACTCAAGGCACTTGGGCATGAGATTGTGGACTTCAAGCCACATAGTTCTGGGGTTCTTCCAAGAGAGATGGTTTGGGATCTCGATGCTTCCTTCTACATCTCTGCTGAGCCCTATAATCCCAGCAAGCAGAACCGAAAGCAGAAGAGCAAAGAAGATATCCGGTCCCAAGTTATGCCATCTTGGACAGACTCAGATGAGGAAACACATCCTGATCTCATTGGAATGTTTAGACCGAAGGAAGCATACGACTCCAAAGACATCCATCATGGCGGATCAATGGCCGGAAGTAGCTTGGGCTATGAACAGTTGTATGGGAAGCGTGATGCAATGCGTGAGCGCTTTTACAACGCATGGCAAGCTGCTGGTTTGGACGCTTTGCTTTGTCCAGTGTCGGCTACGCCTGCTCTTCATGTCGAAGAAGTGCAGAATGCCGTGACTGACCATGACTATATAATATACACATTATATATATACATACTATACAGTGTATATATATTATGCAGTGTGTGTATATAGTATATACACACACTTAAGGTGTGCTTGTGTTTTTTCTTTAAATTGTGGTTTCCGTTAGATTTGGCCTTCCCCTACAGAAATTCCAACCGACCTTTTGGCCAACTGACGACCAAGGTGAGCAACGTTGTTACCACACGTGTGTTCAATTTGCTTGACATGCCAGCTGGGGTGGTCACGGTCAGCTTAGTGAAGGACAGTGACTTGGTCCCGTATGATCCCGGCACACAAGATCCTGATGTGACGCGAATGGCTAAGAGGGCAGTGCAGGATTCCCTTGGATTGCCAGTGGGAGTGCAAGTCGTAACCCTGCCATGGAGGGAAGAGCTTTGTTTGCGGACGATGCTGGAGCTGCCTGGACTTACCCCTGGTAGTGATGTTTGTGTCGTGGGTATCCCTCTATCATCCTCTTTTCTTCAAGTCTTCTAACATGCCGCAATCCCATGCAACCCCTGTGAAGGTGAAACGTCTTCAGAAATGTTTAGAGGCAACCCCGTCAAGCCTACTCGAAATCCTTCGGTCTTTGGGTGCCTCGTCCAGGTTGGAGAAGGGCTTTGGCTTCAGTGCTGCCCATTATAAGTTGGCACCGCTTGCTCGGCGGAGCCGTAGCCTAGGAGCTCCTCCAGAAGCTGTCTCGCGCTTGTGACGAGAGTACCACGTGGATGCAGACGAAAAGAAGACGAAAGACATGCGGAAGCAGAAGGACACCATGGAACACGTTTGGACATGTCTTTCCACTGCAAGGCGTAAGGCCCTTTGAAGGTGCTTGGAGCTGTCCTTAGCGTAGTGGCGTAGTATTGTTGGGTTTGATTTGGGCCCTTGCCGAAAATGGCAACGCTTCTGCCAGATTTTGGACATGGACGGCTTCAAGTTCATTCGAGAGCCGGGGAAGCTCAGGGCATATACAACTGCGGTATTCAACCAACCGTAGCACAGGCTGCCGCAAGAGTGTGTTTCTTACATCGATGTTGTTTTCGGAACTTTCCATGGGGTGCCACCAATATTATAGAATATTATTCAACATCCCCTATACAATCTATATAATTAGACATGCACAATTAAAGTTATAATGTCGAGACCGGATTCATAAACACCCCCATAAGGTTTGTTATTTGGGGAGGTCAGAAAAGTGTAATTCCATTTTAATTGGTGCAGTCAATCAGGAGTGGTCACCAAGAGTAAATCTCTTCATGAGCAGAGGCCCGAAAGACTAAATTTCTTCACGAGGAGGGATCCCCCAGACTAACTCTCTTCATGAAGAGGGGTCTCCAAGACTAAAACAATTAGGTGGTGAATTGATTATTAAATGATTGATTAGGCAATTCATAAACTATGGGGGGGTCATGAATAGAGGGATGTTTGAAAGCCTTTTCGGTGCTTGAACCAGTTATTTTGTGGGATATGATATGGCACATTAAGAATCTTCTAACGGAGTTTCTGGGAGTGGTGTTGGATTCTGGGTGATTTGGGGTGATCTGTGGCCAGATCAAGAGCAAGAAGAGATTGGTCCAGGAAGCAGTGAGATGCGTTGGGGTCATTTGAGTTTGGTTAAATATTTATGTTATGAGCCCCCCATCACATGGAAGGTCAACAAGGTCAACAAGGCTTGTGGTACCATAGGATGAGGGATTGGTGGAAGGGAGGGTGGAAGGCAGATAGTATTGAAGGAAAAGTTGCACCAACAGCAGTGGACCAAACTAATTGGGGGGGTTGTGTCAATCTTTTGCAATTTTGGCAATGCGGTTTTTGGACAGGTGTTTATGATTGGAGTCCCCGAGGCTGACCAAACAATATGATTGGGTGATCTTATTATCGACATTAATCATCATGCCATTACAAGACTGTTAAGGGCAGGACGGTTTTTGCATGTTTTGACACGCACATAAGAAGCACGGGAACCTGGGCATCATCGGGCCACCAGCCGCTCACTGTTTTCATCAGTATATAGTAGACCACTCACTGAGCTGGGGGAAGTTGAAAATACCCCAGGTATGGAACATTACCCCAAACACCAAACCACCCATCCCAGTTAATGCCTCCTGAGTTTTGCGCTTGAGGTTTGGATCATATGGCTTTGGCGATGGGTTCCTGGGCTGCACTATTGGATTCAGTGAGAGTTTGGCCGAATGGTAGCACAATGTCAATGTCTCAGCACCCCAAGTAGGTAGACTAGCACAAATGTTTGTCCATGGTTTGAAGCACGGCAGGCAGTTTGACGCACCTTTGGCGGCCACCATCACCTGCACCGGTGATATCCTTATGCTGGGAGCCTCATTTCTTGTTACTACTAGTAATGCACTTGTTACTAGTAGCGATGCACTTGTTTCTAGTAGCGTGGCACTTGTTACTACTAGTAAGGCCCTTTGCTCCTAGTAGCGATGCAGTCTGAGCTTTCGGATCCGGAAAACGTGGGAATGGCCATTGTCGACTTCCCCTCCTTGTGTTTGGTCCATGCGTTTGAGGTCTACCGCTTGTTTGACTCCTTACCGAAAAGATGTTTGAATCACTGGTTGACCGCGTGTTGTAATTGGCCTGCATTCGAGAGCTTGGAGAACGGGGTATTTAACCAGCCTTCTAGTGCCAAGCAATGGACCTGGAAATACAGCCGAGTGCCATGCACATATCAGCCCAAAGCGTGTTGTTCCCCATAATATCATATTGGGATATTGATTGCACTCAGTTCCTTTGCAGAATTGTTTACGTTTCTTTGCGTGCAGGTTATGGCATAGATACAAACTTCACTCAGCATCCATATGCAACCTGAAATAAGCTTGGTCTGTTGCGGCGCTTTCGACCTCGTTTGCCTTGCTCAGTTCCGATGGGAACAATCGCATCCAGGTTGGAATTCGCACGCAGATGCTTGTCGATTCTGATGATGCGTAAAACAACGTAAGACAGGTGACGGACATTTGCATGTTGGCCCAAGGTTCTTTACTAGCATGGTGCTCCAACCTTTTGGCAGGTTTTTGACGGGAAGGGCAGCTTCCTCCGTTCCTTCGGCGTCCGTGGGAAGAAGGACAGCTTTGAGGGACGATCGATGCATCCCCAGTTGAAATCTCTGTGAACAGATGAGAACGCATCTTTTTGGTACTCGGGTCAAACGACACGACTGGGGTTTACAACGAAAATGCACTTGGCAGGTGCTTATTAAGGCTTATAGGTTCTGGGCAGAATAGGAGGGTGATCCTGGCTGAGCCGACCCTTTGTGGCCACAAGTAGGTGGAAAAAACATGAGAAACTATTTGATCAGATGACCAAGACATATGAGAATCAGATGTGAAGCTCGTAAGGTATAAGCTGCTGAAACATTTATGCCTGGCAGGACGGCTTTTTCCACTATCCAGTCGGCATCGCTGTAAACGATGAAAATGTTTGCAACCCAGCCTGATGTGCCTCCAAGTCACAGGAATAGTAGGATTGAAGACTGAAAGGTGTCAAGACAATCAATCAACCATATTCCCAGAGTTGGCCACAGAAGGGCTGGAGCAACATCCAGCATTTTGGATTTCCCAGCGAACGTGTTGCCAAGCTGCGCAATCATAATGATGGATAGTTAATTACCCTACCCGCATCAGACAAAATCATATCCGTGGAGCAACCATAGTAGCAACCATGTATTCGGTACTTTTCGGTGACTTCATTCTTACTTTATATTAATATGGATCCACCTGGCAATTCAAGGCCAGCAGGCCAGCGGGGATCATTTGGACTGAGGCCCTCTTTGTGTGCGACCAAGGGAACCATCGCATTCAGGCAAGTTGAATACCCCTTTTGTGGAAGTCTCTCAAAGATCCTTTTGGTATGTCTAATGAGGAGTGAAGTTGCATTTTGAGTGAAGTTAAGCCACCACAGAAATAAACAAGTGTTGCTTTAAGTCAGTTGCAGAACGCACAAGAGAACTATATTTTATAGATCAATGGTCACAGGTTGCAAGTCAGGGATTTCAAAGAGACACTGTTAGGGATAGGGTTGAAGGTTTGGAGAGATGCTAGTAGCTGGACTTGTTGTAGTTGTGTCACTTAAGTCTTGGGTTGGTCCGTGTCTTGCTTTTTTACTTTTTTTGAGGTGTTGTTCTGCGGGGGGTCAAAAAACAACAACGGGGCTGCAGATTTTGTTTGTAGGGGTAGAGACAACATCTCTTGAGGGGGGGTGTAAAGACAACAACAGGTCTGCAGCTTTTGTTTCTAAGATGTGGTGGTAGAGGTTAGTTACAACAGACAAGTATGAATCAAGTATATGAGATGGGTAAACACCATCAGTAGTACTACCACTAGTACTACTGCCACTAGCAACTAGTAACTGCTAACACTAGTAACTACTAACACTAGTAACTACTACCACTAGTACTGCTATCACGAGTACTACTACCACCAGTACGACTACCACTAGTACTACTACCACTAGTACTACTACTACTACTACTACTACTACGACGACGACGACGACGACGACGACGACGACGACGACGACGACGAC